TAACAAACAGAAGTGGGGTTTCTTTTTATGCATTTAGTACAGGGTCTACATGGTCTCACTACACAGATTGGACTTGTAGTGATCCTCCTGTTTTCAGCCTCCCAAGTGCTGGAATTACAGGCGTGTGCCACCACGCCCAATCTCAATCCCTGTGTCAGCACACCCCGGGGACAGGGCTAACACCACAGGCCAAGGGTCAAACCGGATCTCTGTATCTAGGCTCTTTAGTCCACTGAGCCAGCCCAAAAAGAAGGATTTTTAGCCTGGCATGCAGGTCTATAATTCCAGTACTTGTGAGGCTGAGTTCAAGGTCATCCTGGGCTACATAGCAAGATGGTCAAAAAAGAAAGTCAGAAGGAAAAAAGGAGAGAAGAGAGAAAAAGAGAGCAGAAGAGTTAAGAGGAGAGGAAAGGACAGGAGGGAAGGGCAGGGCAGGAGAGGGCACGAGGGGAGGGCACGAGGGGAGTGGAGAGAGGAAAGAAGAGACAGGAGAAGAAAAGAAAGAGGTTTCCTTAGCTCAATGTTGGAAGCTGGACATCAAGTTCGAGCTGCACCTGGTCAGTATTTGGCAAGAGCCTCCTGCTGCATTGTAATGTGGCAGGTGGCGTCACAGAGCAGCACAACGCTTGAAAGGGATCACATGGTAAGAGAGGAAGCAAGAGAAGTGAGCTGTGTGCCAGTCCCAGAAACCTGACCCATCTCACACACACACACACACACACACACACACACACACACACACACACACACACGGCATTAATCAATTCATGAAGGTGGAGCCCAGGGATCTAATTACCTTCCTCTGGCTCCGCCTCTCAACTTCCCACCACGTTCAACAGCATTACCCTGGGAAGCAAGCTCCCAGCATGAGTTTAGGGCAGGGATGGGACTCACTGAACCACACCCAAACCCTCCCAGCATGTTTTCTACCATCTAAGTGCCTCAGCAATGGCTCTGCCACCTGTTCCACCGTGACCTGACCTGACACAAGTCAACCTTGCACTGCTGCCTCTGCCCTTAATTGAAACAGCTCGGAGCCTTTTGTGGTGGCCATAAGGTGGTCAGATGGTTTCCATGCTGGCTCCAGGAGAAAGTGTTCCAGAGAACAAGGTGGATGGTCTGCAGCCTTCTGAGACCTGCACACAGCCTCCTCGTGTCCCTAGTGGATGCTGTATTACCTGAAGCAGCCACAAGCCCACGCCAAGACCACTGACACTCAAGAAGAAGCAACAGACTTCACTAGGTTTTAGTACCAACATGCGTTTATCTGGTGCATCTCGTTTGCGTTTTCCATAGCAGCCAGAGTCACACACACTTTTATTATCAGCTGGGAGCTGGTTGATCCCAAACAGTGACTGATATTACCTCAGTCCACTCAGCTAGCTCAGGCTTCCTCTTACAGTACTTGCCTTCCAGGAAGGTGAGACTCGGTAGAGATCACATTTGCTAACAGCCGATCAGCGAAAACAAGGCACACAGCCAAGCTCAGAATCAGCATGGAAGGAGATCACATGCAGGCACCAGGAGCACCATCACTGAGGATCACTAACGTGGTATCTGCCGTACATGAGCAAAATCACTCACCTTTGTTTTTTTGGTAGTTTTTTTTTTTTTTTTTTGGTGGAACCAGGGATTGAACTCAGGCCCTTGCGCTTGCCAGGGAAGCACTTATCCCACTAAGCCATCTCCCCGGCCCCCAATCACTCCCCTTTGGAGACTCAGGTTATGCCTTGTCTCCTCCAAGAAGGCCTCCCTCCCAGACTGGGCCATCCCACGCCCCCTGCGGACTCTCATAATGCCCCTATACACACCTTTACCTGCACTTACCCTACTGATTTCTAACTTTCTATCTATTGCCTTGGCCTCCCCCTGGGAACACACATGGAGGGCGAGACTGGCTCTGTTGATCTTTGTGTTCCCAGTGAAATCAGTTTAGCTGAGGTCTGAGGACCCATGCTGGGTGCACAGACAGGCTGGCGGGGCATGGAGTCAGTCAGGAGACAAGAGCCACAGGCTGAGCTGAGCAAAGTATCTGTGTGACCTCAGACAAATCCTTTCCATTGGGGGCTTCTGGTCCCCACTATAAATGATGGGGCAGCCCTGCGATTCTACAGGGACATGATGTGGAACCAGCGTCTATGCAGAGTGAATGGCTGGTAGTCCTGGGTCAGCATGAGGAGATGAGTATTTTTAGAGCAGTTTCTACTCTCAGGGGCAGCAGGAGAACAGAAATCTAAGGGATTGACAGGATAGCCACAGTCTGGTGGGACACCCTGCCTTGGCTGGATTCCTTCCTGCTTTCAGCACACCAACCCTATCCATCAATGACTAAGAGCTTTCAGATCCCTCCTTTTTTGTCACGCTGAGACCCTACGCAGATCCTACATTGTCTTATTCCTGAGCCTTCTTGCTCTAACAGATGCACAATTGCACACGCTGGACAGAAAATGCTTCCCTGCCCTTTCTGAAAACAAAGTACCTGGGGACTCTGAAAGTAGGCCAGATCCTCCTCATCTTATCAAAGTAGCACAGCGAGGCCCTCCACCCGGCAACACTCAGAGACAGGCCACAGAGCACCCAGTCCCTCCACAAGTCCAGCGCGGGCATCAGCTGCTGGTAAGGGACCTCTGGGTATCTTCTGCCCCAGAAAGAATGAACCATCTCCATCCCCTAGCTGTGTGCGCGCATGTGTGTGTGTGTGTGTGTG